ATTGTGGCATGAGTTTTTATGAGCTTAAAGGGTCCACTCGTGTTTGATTGATGGTCGAAATTCCTAAGGGTTTATTGATTCACGCGATTTTAATGGCATGGGACATTGGTAGGGGTCAAGTGGTATTGTGTTGACATTTATTTGTAAATAATATATTTCATATTTTGTACTCTATTTTTTTCTTGATTTAGATAATTTTATTAGAGACATTTATTTATTTTATGTCAAAATATTCTTAACCAAGTAATTCCTCTTAAACTATTGTTCTACTACGAGATAAAACTATTAGTTGTTATGAATTTAAAAAGTTTCATTTCTTATTTCCATAAATTCATACATATCCTTTGAATAGTGAGGTACAATAAAATACCTCAATTTCTCGCTTCCGAGAGCCGGGCCGATTGAATTTGGTATTTAAATTTTTTTCGTTGCATGCGATGAAGCATGGAGTAGGCTTGCGTGTTCAGACGTTGTTTAAATGTTCACAGGCTAATTTCTATATGCTACTGTCTGGAAGCCGATCAGAATTCAAAATTCTTTTACAAATCAGGTTAGCAAAATTTTGAATACAAAGAAATGCTTACAATGACGTCATCACATATTAAACTCTTAAAATTATGGTACAAACAAATAAAATTCAGGTGTAAATAGAAATTACCTCTCAAATATAGATCGTAAAAGAAATAACTTACTTATCAGGAGCATGATAAATATCTTGACTTACCTTTCAGACCCTTACCCAGGAAAGGTCAATGCTTTGAACCTAGACTGATTGTCATCATGCGATCTTGCTTTTATTTATGTTTATAATTATATTTTTCTATTATAAAGATTAAAAAGCACATTTATTGTTTTGTAGGAATATTTACTTACAATTACATACGGAATCGTCCTAATCACTACCTCAAACAAAAGTGTACCCAAGTTACAGTTTAATAACGGACATTTAAATATGAAAATTTTATGTTTGCCCATATTCTATATGATTTCTAGATGGATTCCCAGAAAGGTTTCTCCCCGTTTCATAAACTAATATTATATTAATGTGTTATAACTATTCAATATTATTATAACCGCTGTTATCCGTTCTACTTTGATTTATGTTTTAATTTGCGGAGTACTTTACTGCATAAAGATTTCACAGTACTTATTTTTTTAGTAAATATTAAGTATTAATTTTTTATTAGGTTGTTGCTAAAATTTCGAGAATTATATATATCATTTTAATGTTATATTTTAACTCTGTGAACAATAACACGACCCTCTAACTATTTGATTTAAGTATTTTTCTCGTTTTTGTTCAGTAAACACAGATGCGTAATCTGCTATGAGGGATTGGTTCTGGCGTTGTGTAAATATTTCTTTATTTGGCACATTAAATATATATACTATAAAAAATATTTTGTAGAAAAACGACAGTCGATTTTGATTTCTATCTGTTCTTTGCCGCTAATAATTTCTTACGGTCACATTAGCACCACATTTAAAGAGAACTACTTCAGATAATTTGTTTTTGAACATCAATCTATTATGGTCTTTATTTTCTTAATCATAAAGCTCAATGGATTCGGTTCAAAGTCAGTACTCAGACGCTTTAGCTGCTTGCAGATGTCTTGGCAAAGAACCAAGCAGACACACAAGGTCGTGGTTATACCGTGATAAAGTCTCGGATATTTATTTTGATACTAGAAGACCTGGCGAACTTCGTATCGCCCTATAATCAAGAAATATCTATTACTTTTTTTTATTTATATTTTTGGAGTTTTTAATGATTGACATATTAGTTAGTTGTCAAATCTAATGTCAAAAAAAACGTTTGTATGGGAAATATAAAGGGGCTGCTTTTATGATTTTCCCAGTAATTAATCAATTTTTTTCACCTTTTATACCTTCCCTGAACCTCCACGAATATTTCAAGACTAAGATAAGATAAATCCGTTCAGCTGTTCTCGAGTTTTAGCGAGACTAAGGAACAGCAATCCATTTTTATATATATAGAAGATATCTTTAAGAAACCGAAGTGAAGATCACACTGTATTAAAATATTACACAGAATAAATATTATATCTGACTATTTATGAATTTATTTTATAACATCTGGAAATTTTCGTTATGTTTTTTGTATATAATATTATATGTTATTAATATTTTACCGTTACAAAAAAATTACATACGTATATTTTTAATATATTTAAATGTCCATGTACTTTATAGTTAAAAGATTTCATATAATATTTTTTATATTAAAAAAAGGTTATTAAATAAAGTATGTAATAAATAGTCAACTATGACATACATTAAAAAATAAATATATAGTTTAAACTTTTAATACCTTTAATACAATACAAACATTGTTATATAATATTAATCTTTTAATATTCCGGTCTTTTTATCAACAAAACGTATATCATTAGATGAGTGTGTCACACGAAAAAAAAATCGGGAAATACGCAAAACAAGCTGAAGTGCTATTACGAATTTAGAAGCAGTCGGGATCCCACGAGCGATGCGCTTGCGTCGCTCCATTCATAGGGAACTTTGTGTTATTAAATATTAAACACAGTGTAAAGTGGAATATTGGTTTAAAAAAATTATTTATTTTATTTAAAACGTTGTATTTCGTAAGTTAAATAGTTCATTTAGTTCTCATACGTAGCTTTAGCTAATGTGAAATTCTTCTTAAGCAATGAAAGTTATCCATGGATTTATTTTAAGTGTTAGATAGATGTGAAATTAATAATTTTGCCTTTTTAAAGAGGTTCATTAAAAATATGTTTGTTATGAAGTTACCAAAACAAATATTTTGGTCTCTGCGGGTTATTCGGTGATGGTTTTTATTTGTTATTGTGACATGTTCAATTGTAAAGCGCAGTGTATTGTGATGTTTGTAAACATTCTCAACGGTTCTTAAAGTCACTGTATTGTTAAACTGTACAATGATAATGAGATAGTTTTTAGGTAACAAACAATAAATATAAATAAGGAACTTCGTATTTATAATTTGTTTAAAAAAAATCAACATAAATTACTTTTTGCTGGAAACTAAAAATTTATAACTAAAATAATGTTGGTAATATTAAAAATAGCAATTTACTTGAATTGCTTATTGTTTATTAAAATAACATTTTCTTCTGATCGGGAGCCTTTTAATAGAATGTGAAGTGGCGTTTCCACACATCTCAATAATTATTATAACTAGGACAGAATTGACTTCAAAATAAATGAAGACATTATTTTATTTTTGAGGAAAAGCAAAAGGATTTTGGATTGGATTTGATGAAAAGGAAAAGGAATAATATATTTACCTCTTCAAATGTTAAAAATTATAATCATTTCTATTTCGAAAAAAAATAATAATTAGTGCTTGTTATTTTATTAGAAATCGTTCCAACAAGTTTCATAACACGTTATATTAATATTGCGTCTCAAAGGAAATTGTTTCAATACTAACTCAATATTTTTAATAAATAATTTACCCGTTGTATACGTTTGCGGTCGGTAAAAATTAAACTCTTATATTTCCTTGTCAAAATATTTCTGGAAGTGGTGACCCATTTAACTCACCTCAATCGAAAACTGCAACCCACGAATTACTTTGAACTCGAATATTTTAAACGATTTTTTTATAAACCATAATGTTATGTTGTTCATCGTTTTGCTTGAACTGTTCATTTTTATAGCATATAATTGAATTTAAATATGTACATAAAAAGTTATATACAAGATAGTGTAAATATATGGGGATTTAACCAATTTTAATAATTTTGAACTAGCACAATAGTCTGTTTTCTTGTATTGAACTTTGACATATTGCTCTAGTGAGTCTCAGTCAGCGGAGTCATCATATTGTGCTGAGTGCAATGACACCATCTTAGTCTATCCGCACACCGGCGTCTGACTGAAACAGAGAACTAAAGATTATTTGGAAATTAAACTAGTATTGATTAATATTCTGTGCATTTTATTATGATCCAAATTGATATTATTCGTACGAAAAACATGGTTGTTTTTTTGTTGTATTTCGTATTTAAAATATTCATAAAAAATTTAAATAATTATTAAGTATAAAGTTGAGATTATTTTCGATTTAATAGTGCATACATTTATGAATTGATATATTAAACTCATGTTCGTTGCCTTGGACATCGAATGTATGCGGTATTCTTTAGCGGTTTTGTTACAGTCTCGACATTAAAGTGCGGCTTGTTGTGTCTGCTACGGATTTATTTAAGATGCTTATGGTCCTGTCATGTTAAGTTACTAAGTCTTACGGAGTTATTGACTCAGTAAGCGGATTTGGACTGTTTTAAGTCATTAAATTATATTCAATATATTTTCAATACAGGAAGTTTCTATGTAGATTTTATATACGGGAATAGTATATTGCATTACAGTGAATGAAAAATATATTGGAGATGTTATAAACGATATGGATGATTTATAATTCTTTAATATAATTATTTCATACTGAAAATAATAAATCGTACGTACTTAGAAATGTCAAATAGTATGTAAAACGTCCATAACAGCTGATTCTCTAAAACGATAATTTTTGGAATATTTTTTTTATTAAATTGCTCCCTCCTGTCAGTACCACGATTGTCCTGACGCGTTAAAACCAGAATCAGATCGCTCTGCAGGACAGGTGCTGAGAGATGATATGGGTCGAGCATCCGAGGGTTTTATTAAATATTTATTACATATACATATGTATGAATTATACTGTGCTATACTAGACCATATTGGGATTGTTTTAAAAAATAAACAATTAAAAGTTTATATAGCTGGAAAATGTTTGTCAATTCAAATTATACATTATCATTCACAATAATGAAGTTTCAATATATAATAATGTGGTCACTTGCGCAATCGATTTCAGAACGCAGATTGAATTTCAATCTGTTTAAACACCCACTCGTCTGCGTTTCATCATTCAATTATCTGTCACACGAGCTTCATACAAACATTGTAATTCATCAGTAATATTTACATTAGTAACAATGGAGTGCGGACGATTATTAAACGGACTGGTGTGGAGCGCATATTACTCAGCACAAACTGAGAGAAATCCATCGTCTTTGTCGATAGAAGACGTCTGTGCTAGCGACGAACGAAGTGCAGTGAAAGATAACTATCTAATAACTTATCCGGACGAAGATAGTGATTTTGCTTCTATCAATAAGGAACTTTTCAGCGACGGATTAAACGATCCATCCGAACCTAACCGCTACGCAAATCCCCTCTTAATACCGTCACATATGTTGAGAGGGATAAGTGAAGAAGGGAACGTTGAAGAATTAATGAAGAATGAGGCGAAAAAGTTTGAAGATTATAAGTTTTGCGAACCAGTTAATGATTTTGACATTGAATTGGAATCGGAGGAGGCCGTACCTATTGTTTACCTTCAGACTACTCGAGTGGCGAAATTACAAAGGGCACTTCGTCTAGCTGGATTAAAAAAGGTGAGCTATTGTATTGAGAGTATTATCGTATTTTACGTAATGTAATAAAAATTATGAAAAGAGTAAAATAAATATAATATCCTAACATATTATATGTATTTATTAAATAAAATACGAACGAATGACACTTAAAAGTGTCAGCATTTCGCTTTTCTGTCGCTTTCTTACTTCGTTGTTTGGTAACTTTTTCTGAATTGCGGACTAATTGGAGCTTAGAATAAAATTTTATTTCTTCACATGAGAAATATATAAAATTTAAAATTGTGTTATTTTTTAAAAATACATTAAGTACATAAAAAATTCTTTTTGATCAAATTGGCAAATGTTTCAACTATTCCTTCATTATTATTTGGGTTTCTTTAAGGCAACGTTTTGGGATTATGTTCTTTATAAAAACGAAAATATCTTCAAAGACGAGAAGATTTATATCAAATAAACTAGCGAGATTTTAACGAAATGTTTTAAAAATGTCTGTATACTTTCTGTTAGTTTTGTTAATTTCTAAAAATACCACCAAATTGATCTCATAATATATTATAGTTTTACTTTAAATTTCTTCCCTCTTATAAAATCGGTTTAAACCACTGTTTAAGATCCGATGACAAAATATGAACCATGAGATTACAGTGCGTTATTATAGGTAATAATAATTATTTCAAGATATTTTAATACCGGATTTAAACAACTTTATCCCCAGACTTTAAATACCGTGTCAACCATAAAATTAATTTCATACCGTAATTTATGGACTTTTAAGGTTCGGTGCTTGTTTTTTATTAAGTTATATATTCATGCAGTTAAATTATGTTTGCTTTTATGTACCGGCGTGAATTTATGCTGTGTAATGGTTATGAAATCTTAGTATTTTACTAAAAGGAAGCAGTTAACTTATATTTTTATGATAAAATGTAATTTTATAATGTTCTCATTCATTTTCCCTGTGCCCCGGTTCTCGGAGCCTCGGTTGCATTTTCAAGTAGTTCTCAACAGACTTTAAATATTTATATGAGCCTCAAGTTTCAGTTATAATATTGTTTTATTATTTGAAAATTTACGGTAGATTTAAAAAAATGTTACCGCTACAAAATAAATGTTTTTATAAAAATCTATGTTTCCGAAGTCAGCTCATTCAGCTTAAAATAACTTCGCCTAGAATTTTATGAAAATATAAAATTTTTACTCGTTGAACATCTTCATTGGGTTTAATTTACTTTCAATTTTTCCATTATAAATTGAATTACAGATGATTGTAATCAAAGCTCAAGTATAGCAGTATTATTTTTATTAATTACAATATATTAACTAAAATATAAAGGTGTATAGAAAAATAAACCAAATCCATGGTTATTTCTTTGAAGTGTCTTTATATGACAAGTTTCGTTCAATCGACTAGCTGCGGTGTCGCGACCTACAAACTAAATGACAGTTGGAATTGATACTTCCTCTGGAAAACAAGTATATTCAGAGCATATTTTCTATTTTAAATGTTTCGTTCTCGACAGTTAATGGTTGACATCATTCAAAAGAGTTAAATGTGAACGCTTTTCTGTTTTTTGGGTCTGTCTAATAAATGCGAATGCTTTTTTCTTCGTTTTCAACTACCATTTAACTAATCGTCTTGATTTTTAGAATATATTATATAAATTTCTTCTAGGTATAATAGTGTGAATGCTTAATTAATTATTATTATTAATGTTGTTAGCATCTATTAATTATCCAATAATCAAAATTAAAACTTAAGTGAAACATATGTGTAAACTTAATAAACTCGATGTCAAATAATTTAAACATTCAGTTTTATTGAAATTGATGTGTTCTGAGTGTTAATACGTATATTTAATTTTCTGACTTAATGTGCTCTTAAACAATTAGATAACATTATCTCTGTGACGTGAAATCAAATTGGTTCGCTTGCTTTTAATTTGTGGGAAAAAACAAACAAATCTAATTTATTTCTACTCTTTTTTATCACATAAGTGACAGTGACTTTCAGTTCCTGGTACGTGCATGAGTAAGACTGAAAACAGGAATATGTAGTCAGCAATTTGAACCTTAACTATTTACATACAAGGTCGAGTATTGAATGATGAGTCTTCTTATGGCGTTCTGTTGTACTTGGCACAACTGTCGCAAAACAGAAAACATTGGCTTATGTTACATTTGGTTATATTATTTCCCAGTATCTAGTTAGTCTGCATTCTTTCCATTACTTAACTATTTTATATAAAAGCTGACTTTTTATTTTATGTCGAATCGCAGAATCTGTTTAATGGAATGATTACGTCATCTGCCATTGACTGTAAGTAATATTATGCTCTTCTTTTTAATGAATTTTAATCAAAAAGAAAATATGGAATAAATAATTTGTCGGTAAGAGCAGTCTTTGATCCAGTAACCACCGGTGTATTATGTACATTCGAGTTGCTTTTCAAGTGAATCTATCTTCTCCTGGCTCAAGTCTGTAAATTAAGAAATTTATACATTTTACAGTCGCATTTAATTCAACATTATTCGTCAAAAAACTCATTGACACGAGAGTTTATTTGGTACAGGAATTGGAACGTAATATTGTGAAAGTTGCGGGTTCGAATTCTGCTCGTGTCGATGATTTCGTTAATTCTACTATTTATATTTTAATTATAATTCAGTATCATCTCAGCGCTTTAATGGTAAAAAAGTGTAAGCATACAAATTCTACCACATGCATAAAAATAGATTCTTTAAAGATTTTAAATTATAAAGAATTACTAAAAATCCTACTTAAAGTACATTTTTAAATAATATAAGTCTTTTTTTTTGCTTGATAATAATTAGTCCTATACTTTAAATATATGAAGAAATATAAAGTAGCCACCATAGATTTCAAACTGTAATGCAGTAGGTAGGTATCTTTAGTAAATAAGCTATAAAATATTAACTGTAATAATATTTCATTGCACGACTTGTGAACGTTCGTCAGTCTGGAAACCTAAAATAGGTCTTAGATGCACCTAAAATAGATCCCTTCCGTATTCGTTTTGAAAACTTGTCGATGACGTCTTATTTTAGGGCTCACTAATAAACTGCAGTGGAGTGTTATCATGTTATAAATGCTTAGCAAGTACTGTGTAAGTATTTGCGCTTTATAGTCCTTATAACATAAGGAAGATGTCAGATGTACTCAAATAAATAAAAAAACTATTTCCGTGACTAAATTTAATCTGTAGGAAGATTAAAACTATTTAATGTAATTTTCACGGAATATAGCAAATTAAAGCTTAATATAACTAATAAAATAAAAAGAAATTTCTTTACCAAGACGATAAAATAAAAGTAACGACAAATATCTCTAGCTTTGTTAGTTATCTAGTTTAATAATGTATATATAAAGATTGAAACAATGTTAAAGTTTTATACATTTTTCTTATTTTTCTACATATTTCATTTTATTATTTTTGTAATATCTTTACCTATTTTATGTGTGGATTATTTCTCTCATAGTAACGAAACTAAATTTACAGCTACATACTCGTTATCGCCCTAATTATAACGAAATTTGGATGCATACGACACTTAGTGCAGGTGGATTGCACGCATGAGGTAATAATCTTAATGGATCCATGGAACCAAGTTCATCAACATTCGATACGGTAGAACGGATTTCTGTTTTGATATTCACGTATTCGCATACCCTATATATTACTATATATATTAAATACACTATTTATTAGCTTTAAATTATATAATCTATATAAAAAGTATCAAAAAACTGATGTCTAGAAGACTAAACTCTGTTTAGCCATTAAAATAGCCATAGTAGTGAGCAACCAATTATGTTTCCAATCGACTATTATTATTCATCTATTCATTTTTATTAATATCAATCCATTTAGCGTAAGTAATATATTTTTTATTATTTATCGTCTATATCATCCCCCATTGTAAACGAAATACATAGAAATTGGGCTACACTTTGTCATCGGCACTTCTATTTATTTTTTTTACATATAATACCAGATTTTTTGAATGGTAGCCAAAATTTTAAAGAATACGTCCGACTGCCAACTTTTAAAATAAACACTTCAATTAGCGATTTCCGTGTCAATGACCTTATATTTTTTTAAATATTATTCTCACCATTCATACCGCCACACTGCCACCAAATAATATCCAAACTACACCTGCTAACAATACAAAGTTCATGGATATCTCATACAATTGTAACAATTCCTTACTTCGATGTAAATGTTTGTCTTGCAAGAGTCTGAATAGTATCGGTTGTATCAAGATAAAGCCATTGAGCCAGTGAGTAAGTTGCACTAACTTCTAATAGATGTTGTTATACAATTCAGAACCTGTTTCAAAGATACCTATTGACGTCCATTTGAAGGACCTTGCTCTTAAGCAAAGTTTACCCTCGTTGAGAGAGCTACGAACAGTGCTGGCATTGATTGAATTTTACGTCAGGCTGTGGTCCTTATAATTTAATAATTATTAAACTTATTTGGTATACTACTTACAATATAAAATGGGTAAACGAAATACTTGCTTTTCTAATTCTGTTTTTTTTTCTCATGCTGTAAGACTTAACACTTACTCGTACATTCAACAAGTAGGGACGTGACTTGAAAAAATATTTTTAAACGCCTACACTTAATAGATTATATGAGAGATAAACTTATGTATACTTGAAAACAAATTCTATGCCTTTATATACAGGGTAAATTTTGCATTGACACGAATTTTTTTAAGAAACTTTCGAAGTTGCCGTATTTTTTCTGCCATTTTTTGATAAGGATGATGCATGACTTTAAAAATAGGGTCTCTTTTATATCTCCATATTTATTTTGTTAATACTTAACACACGATTCATCAATGACAAAGGAAATTTCAGCGACCTTGTTGAATATCTCTCGGGATAAGGACGGCTTGTGTTCAGTGAGGGTACTTTTATATTAATTTTTGTATGAAAAATCATTTCATAATCTTAAGGGCTTGAATATTTTTTATATTTATTTTTT